TTATTGCATTGTTTTAAGTTTTATTATGTTAATTTTAAATGCAAATTTTATGATTTAATTGTATATATAATTAAATTTGTTGGCTAAAAAACATAAATTAATATATTAATAATTATATCAATTAATATATTAATATTTATTTTGTAGGTTAATATTTCGTCTTGTGGACCTCATTACACAGTAAGTTTCATTTTTCATTATTTTGTTATAATTTTATGGTTAAATATTTATTTTTTTGTTAAATAAAAATTCAATAATTTTTTTTTGATAAAATTTTTTGAAAAATAAATTTCACATGCTTATATATATTAGCTTAGTGAACTATAAAATATTTGAAAGATATTTTAATTATTTTAAGACTAATCATGTTATTATTTTTGTTTTATTAATTTAATAATATTATAGCTGATCGTAGTTGGATGTATAGACGTCGAACTCCTCGAGGAGAAATACATGATGAGTTCTATGATGGAGTTTAATATTTTTTTCAATTTGCATATAATAGTCTTGGTCTTGGACCAAATGATTCAATCAGATGTCCTTGTAGTAAATGTTGTAATTTACCATTGATGACTCGAGAAATGTTATGGGATGATCTTATTAAGAATGGTTTTATGAATGCTTATTCTATTTGGTGGGCACATGGTGAGACATTTATGAATTCAGCAAATCCATGGTCTGCTGCTAATTTGGGTGAATCATCGCATAGCCAAGATATACAACATGATGAAAGGAATGACTTTCATCAAATGGTGTATGATGCATTTTGTCCAGAGGATGATGACCATCGGGAAATGGAAGGTAATTTCCTCGATCAACATCTGGACGAAGAACAGAACAACCAAGCCAAGGCATTTTATGACTTGCTTCATGCATCTACAATACCGCTTGGTAGTTCCAATAGAAATGAGACAGTGCTTAGTTGGCTCTCTTATATGTTGCACACTAAGACTGTAAATAATATAACTGCTGGTGGTTTTAATGCCATCATCGAAGGATGTAGGAGGTTGTTAAGTGCTGAAGATCAGGAAAAAGTCCCTGCAAACTTTTATGAAGTAAAAAATTTATGAAAGCGCTGGGGTTAGGTTATTTAAAAATTGATGCTTATGTTAACAACTGCTTTTTATACTATGGGGAATCTACAAAGACATTGACCACATGTCCAATTTGTGGAGAAGCGAGGTATAAACAAAGAAATCCAGGAAGGAAAAGACAAAAGGACATTCCAAGGAATTCTCTGTGGTACTTGCCAATAATACCTCGCCTTCATAGGCTATACATGTCTCGAAAAACAGCTGAGCACATGACATGGCATCTGAAATGTTGTGGTGATACAAATGAAGTCATTCATCCAGCACAATCAGAAGCTTGGAGACATTTTGATCGAATGCATCCTTCTTTTAAAAGAGAACCCCGTAATGTTCGATTAAGTCTTGCCACTGATGGTTTTAACCCTTGGGCTCATTCTTCAACCTCTTACTCTTGTTGGCCAGTTTTTTTGACTGTTTATAACTTGCCACCTGAGATGTGCATGCGACCGGAGTTTACATTTCTTACATTGGTCATTGCAGGTCCAAAAAGCCTAGGTAGAAATATTGATGTATTTCTTCGACCTTTAATTAAAGACTTGAAAATGTTATGGTCAACTAGTGTGGAAACATATGATAGTTATCGTAAGCAAAACTTCATAATGCGTGCTATGTTGATGTGGACCATAACTGATTTTCCGAGTTATGGCATGGTGTCTGGGTGGAGCACACATGGCCAGTTATCTTGTCCTTACTGTATGGAGATGACACAATCTTTCTATCTTCAACATGGGCATAAACCATCTTTTTTTAACTGTCATCGTCAGTTTTTATCCCAGTCACATCCTTTCAGATTTGATCATACTAATTTTTTGAAAGGTTGGGTTGAATTTGGCAATCCCCCTCCTCGATTGGATGGTGTTTCAATGCGTCATCGAGTTGAAAACCTTCCTGATGTGTTGTTTGGGAAACCCTTTGAAACCAAACAATTGAGGGTTTTGGAAGCACCCACAATTGGGTGAAAAAGTGCATTTTTTGGGAGCTTCCTTACTGGCAGGATAATCTTATTAGACATAATCTTAATGTAATGCACTGTGAGAAGAATTTTTTTGACAACATAATACACACTATCATGAATGATAATATGACAAAAGACAATAAGAAAGCAAGATTGGATTTAGCCCTTTATTGTGATCAAGAAAAATTACAAATGAGATATGATAGATATGGTAAGCTTGTGAAGCCTAATACCACCTATGCACTTACCTCAGAAAAAAAGAAACTTATATGTGCATGGTTGAAACAGTTGCGCTTTCCAGATGGATATGCTTCTAACATATTAAGATGTGTCAACTTGAATGAGTCTAGATTATTCGGGATGAAAAGTCACGATTGTCATGTTTTCATGCAACAGCTAATTCCAATTACTTTTCGTGGTTTATTGCCTTCTGTAGTTTGGGGTCCTTTGACCGACATTAGTAACTTTTTTCGTTCACTATGTTCCCCGACCATCAAACCTAATGAGATGCAAGAGTGGGAGGCAAAAATTGTTGAAACAATTTGTAAGTGAGAAATAATATTTCCCCCAACATTCTTCGATTCTATGGAACATCTTGCAATTCATCTTCCATATGAAGCCAAAGTTGGTGGTCCTGTTCAATTTCGTTGGATGTACCCATTTGAAAGATAAATTATACAAAGAAATTGAAAAAATTATAATTAACTATTAATTAATTTTTTTCAATTAATTTTATTAATATCCTTTTTCAGGCTGATGCGCAAACTTAAGAAGACCATAGGGAATAAAAATCATGTAGAAGCATCAATTGTTGAAGCATATATATTATATGAGATATCCCAGTTCTGCTCTCGTTATTTTGGGGATGATGTTCAAACAAGCTGGAATCAGCCACCAAGAAACTATAGTGGTATTGGGAGCAACGTCCCAGGTCAGTTATCCGTATTTTGTTACCCTGGTCAATCAATAGGTGCACACTCACGTACAAGATGTTTAACATTGGAGGAGAAAAATGCAGTTGAACTATATGTTTTGCTTAATTACAAGGAGGTTGATGGGTGGGTAACGTAAGTTTTACTCCTTAGAATATAATAACTAATATGATTTCCATAGTCTTAATTAATAAATACATATTGTTTTTCAGTAAATTTGAAGAAGTTGGTGCAAATATAACCTATGAACAACTACAAAGAGTGCGAAGAAATAGTTTTGTGCAATGGTTTAAAAACATGGTAACAAATTACTAATTTCTCAAAATTTTAATTATATATTAAATTTTACTAAAATAAAAATTGTTTAATGTATAGGTGCTTGGTGGCCAATATGAAATTAGTGAACAACTTATCAATCTTGCAATTGGCCCAACCTTTCAAGTGAATGTTTATAATGGGTTCTATGCAAATGGCTTTAAATTTTTGACTGAAGAGTATACTATGACTAGAAAGACATATAACTGTGGTGTTTGTGTTAAAAGAACCACCATCAATTCTGAAGATGAAATTGATTACTATGGTGTCTTAAAAGAGATTATCGAGTTATTGTATTATGGACACTCAGGCCGACAGGAGACTGTAGTCTTATTCAATTGTGATTGGTATCACATGAGACGGGGAATACGCGTGGATGTTGAACACGGAATTGTTGATGTCAATCCAAGCTTCCAACTTTCAACAGGAGAGCCATTTTGCCTTGCTAGTCAAGCACAACAAGTTTATTATACTCCATATCCGGGTACAGATAGAATTACTCGGGGATGGTTCACAGCATGTAAAATAAAATCTAGACATCTTATTGACACCTCATCAACCTCATCTTCAGCAGAGATTGATGACATTTTTCAAGATGATGACCCCCCCATAATGCAAGGCTCTTCATTAGCTATAGATTTAGCTGCGTACCAATCACTTCAACTCCATGCAGAAGGTGTTACAGAAGTTGAGGTTAATGCTGATGCATCCGAAGAAGATGAGGGCTGTAGAGAAGAAAAAGATTCAGAAACTTCAAGAAATAGTAGTGATAGCATTGATGAGGAGGATGATAGTGATGATTGATTGAAATATTTGTTATCATATATTATTACTCATTAAATATATGTATTAAAATTTATATATATATATATATTGTTTTATCAAGTTGTATATTTTTCATTTAAAATAGCATCATTGTATGAATGTTCTAATTTTATTATTCATTATTTGTGTACATGTATTAATAACTATTTTGCTATTTCTCTTTCAAGATTTCTGGAAATCCGACAGGTTTGGCTAAGAGGAGATCTTCTTCCTCAGGATTCCAGGGGCAACGTAATCGTGACCAGCCGCAGGTGTTCTCTAGTAGTGGCATAGCTCATGATATAGAGCAGACGAGATGTGATCCATTGATTGAGGATATGGATCATTTGACATCTGATCATGATACTGAGGGCCCTTCATCCTCGAAGGGGAAAAAAGGACGAGGACGAAATTTGAAAGGTCTATGCCCTCCAAAGAATAGAGAGAGTAAGACCTGGGTTAAGCTTACTGATGATAAGCTTCAGTTTGTTGATCCATCCATTCCTCGAGCTATCACTGCCTTATGGAAGTCACGTTTTGATGGCCCATATTTCACATTTGATCGTGTCCTCAACAACAAGATTAATGAAATTTACGCTTGTTTCAAAGCAAGATTTAATTTTAGCAAATTAAATAAAATGAATGGATTTAGCAATTTTTAATAAAAATAAATAATTTAATTACTTAACTAGAATTTTTTTTTTTTACACATTTAATATTGTTCATTTTTTATTTTGTAGACACTTTACCAGTGGGACCGTGCAGATAATCTCCATGTACGAAATGCATTTATAAATTGTATGAGGCATAGATGGAGTGACAATATGAGGGATGTGAGGTTGAAGTGGGTGAAGGACCCATCTTATGTCCCATGTTGGATGCCACCTCATTTATGGTCTCAGCTACTGCATTATTGGGATTCTGATGAATATAAGATGCTTCAAGCAAAGGGAGCAAAGAATAGGAATTCAGGGGAGAGAGTGACTCACACACTGGGTCAATTAGCTTTGGCATCCAGGAGATGCGGATGGTAATCAAGCATAATTAATAAAAAATTAAATTTATTAAATTTTATTTACTAATAAATTATGTCAATTTACACTAATCAATATATTGTATTATAAATATTTTAAAATACAGACTGAAGCTAGAGGTGGTGTGTAACCTCCACATCAAGAGAAGTTCAAGGAGACACATACCTTCAAAAAGAAGGTGGCAACGAATTAAGAGCCGATGTGGATAAATGAAAAGGCAAAGCACCGACATGTAAGTATATATAATATATCAATTATTATAAAATTTATAGTTATAAGTGTCAAATTAATTTATTTAAT